GATTTTACTTACATTTATAATCAGTTTCATACTCTTAAAATTCCCCCTTACATGCATGTTTTAAGATATTTATTAATATACATTATTTTAAAATATTTTAGGAATTATTAGGAGGCAATATGTTTTTATGGCATATAATTAAAATTTTTGGCTGACAAGAATCTGAATTCAGTAAATTTGGAGACTGCCCTGACTGACCATAATGGGAAAGAAACGTGAATGTATTAAACAATTCTTGAAATTGAATTCTCTAAAGCTTAATACAACCTCTGAGCTCCTTACCCAAGACCATCTTGTAACTATAGCCTTTCTAATCTTACCTCCAGATGCCTAGTTTTATTCTAATTACTTAAATTAGATATTACTGACTAGGATTGGCAATTTTTCATCTAAATAGCCAAGTAAGAAACATTTTGCCAACCATATGTTTGCTATTACAACTACTTAACTCTGTACACTCTGGTCTCTGGTGTTGTAGTATAAGAACAATTTGTAAACAAATGGCATGGCTGTTCTCCAATAATACTTGATTTACCCTGTAGGTGACAGGTCAGATTTGACTCACAAGTTGTAGGTTTCTGACTCTTGCTTTAAGCATTCTTCTTGCTATATTTAAAAATACTCGAGAAACTTACTTCTCACAGTTCTGGAGGCCGGAAGTTCAAGATCAGGGCAGTAACAAACTTAGTATCTGGTAAGGGCCTCGTGTCTGCCTCCAAGGTAGCACCTTCTTACTGCATCCTCACATGGTGGAAGGCAGAGGGCAAAAAGGCCCAGCTATCTCCCTCCAGCCCTTCTATAAGGTCACTAATCCTCTTCATGAGGGTTCTTCACTTGCTGTTTAATTACGTCCTAAAGGCCCACCTCTTTTACTGTGAGTTGGGAATTAGGTTTCAAAGTATACACAAACTTTCAACCATAGCATATTTTTTAAACAACATCAATACATATAATGCTGGTCATAATTCTTTTTATAAAATTTATTTATTCATTGAAGAAATATTTACCTGACCAAAATGTCGTAAACTCATCTAGGGTGTAGGTAATTTTATTACCTATAACTTCAAAACATTCCGGACATGGGAACCAGCAGTTAGCGTAATGGCTATGTCGCTGGACTCCCACGTAGTCGACCGCGGTTCGTGTCCCGGACCCGGTGGCTTAAAACTCACGCCGGGCGCGTGTGCGTGCATGCCCAAGATCCCGAGAGGAGAATGGAGGAGAAGGGATTGCGGCGTGACCATCCCCCCTGGGGGGTGATTTCTCGCTTTCTGTCTCTATGTCTCTCTCTGTCTGTCTGGCGAGCGCACGCGCCCTACAGTGAAAATCTCTCCAAAAAAAAAAAACAAAAAAACATTCCGGACATGAATCTCTGGGAATGAGAAAGCATTATGTAGCTGTGCCCAAATTATTTTACCTTGCTTTATATTTATAAACATCTGGCTGCTTCTAATCTTTCTTTTTAATAAAGAAAGCTGAAATAAAAGACTTTATGTATAGGATGTTTTGCAGAATGCAGTAGGATGAAGTACGATTGTTGGGTATACAGTATGCACATTGCAACTTTTATATATTGACATGCTACTTTCTGTAGAGATGATACTGTTTTGATTCCTAGCAGCAGTGGAGGAAAGGGCATATTTATTGTTTCATACAGTGTACTGAGCAACTTTTAGTTCACTTTTTGCATCATTAACTGAGAGGTGAAGATGTTATCTCAGTACAGTTTTTGGTTGTATTTTTATCATTAGAAAAATTGAGTTTGGGGGCCGGCAAGTGGTGTGGTGGTTATGGTACTGGACTCTCACATGGCTGGCTGCGGGTTTATGCCCTGGAACTGGTGGCTTGCTTTCTCACTTTCCCTTTCTCTCTCTCTCTCTCTCTCTCTCACTAAT